CATTCTCCTGGAAGATCTTTGGCTGCAGATCCTCGGAGATCGTTTCCAACTCTTCCTTTCCCATAGTTTGAAGTTCCTTTACCTTTATATGCATGTATCAGAAAATTAGCTAGATTCTAATTCTTGATATATTTTAATCATTTGTGGGGGGATTAAGAGGTATGATTTGTAAATAAATCAAAACACATGCACACCTTTTATCTTACGTGGCATTTTATTGAAAAATTAGATTTCACCTAAAAGTTTCAATATAGGTGGATTATATATTATCTAGAGTTTTTGAGTTTCAAAAACATATTTTTATATGACTATTTTTTTACTACAAGTAATAGTCTAAATTAGAGGGGAGTTTCTCACACTTACGCACACAACTAAGATGTCATGGGGATTCGTATCTGACACCTCTAGTCTGCAAGTCAAGGTCTTTTTCTACTGAGCTAGACTGTTGACTATTTTTATTTGACTTTATATATAGAGATTAAGGAACATACTTCCGAACAAAAATTAATTATAAGAAAAAAGAAACAGGAACATACTTTTCCCACCGTCTCGCTGCAGAAATAACGCTTTAATAAGTATCTGTTATATTCATTGAGATCCACATCACCATCTAACTTTCCTTCCAAATTTCGACTTATTAAACCCATAATAGTTTTCTTCAAATCATCAGGCAGGGCAAATTTTTCCATCCACATTTTTATAGCCCTATTTCTCTCAACTATCTTGGGTCTTAAGTCCTCAGCTTTATCCTCGTCAGCCAACGATTTATTCATTGCCTGCTGCATATATATCTGTACGTTTCCAAGGAGGTAAAAAAATAGTAGCATGCCAATGATAGAAGTTATAACTGCAAAGCAGTTTTCCCACACATAGCTACTTGTTTCCAGATTCGTGCCGAAGTCACAGCAATAATCAATCAAGCATTTAAAATATAAGATTATAATCAAGAAGTGGAAGTAGATGAGTTTTTGTGTAGACTATTATCAGAGTTGCAAGGATCTATTTCTGAATGAATTGCCAATAGCTTAACAGGCATATATGCAAACCTTAGATTTTTGACGCCCCACCATATACAGTAAAAGAACTTGGTTGGAAAATGTATTGACCTCGTGCTTCCAGATTGAATAGCATCAAAAAATATTCCAAAATTAAATATTGTAGTATTCTGTGGATTTATAGGGCATAACTCATTTAGGAATGTGATATCTCGTGAAGTGCTGCCACTGCAATAATAAGTAGGTCCACCACATCCTATACCATTTCTACAAGATTGGTCCCAACATGATATCTCTCGTTGAATAGAAAAGAAGTACCAAAAGCCTCCAACTACCTAAATGGGCAAAAAGTTAGTTCATGATTAGATCAACTCCAGAAAAGTTTATCTAATTTTAGCTAGTCTTCTAAAAATGAAAAAAAAGAAGAAAAGAATTGGAACCCCACCAAGAGCATAAAGTAACAAAAACAAATATTGTAAAAGTGAGAATATATAAGGCTTGAATATTCGAAATTTCTCCACATCCGATTTCGTATGTCATGGACTTATTATTCTCCATTGAACAAAAAAAAAGAAAGAACTGTTGTTGTTTTAAATTGGTGATTGCAATATTGTCTTCTCTATTTGCCAAACAAAAATGTACTAAACTAAAGGAAGTAGGCAAAGCCGTTATGCTAGGGAGCCAACATTTATAAATCATCTCGTGTATCAATTCTCTAATAATAATTGTGGAACCCACTAATGCAATAGGTCGCACCTTAAAAAGAAGTGCTGCGCAAAGTGATCTATAAATATGGTCTCTCTCAAACATTACTTCCTGATTCAACTAACAGTTTTAAAAGAGAACTTAGTTATGTATTTAATACATAACAAATCTTAGTTTCACTACGAAAGTGAGGATACAAGGTAATAATTATAATTTAAAAAAAATAGAGGAACGTATATGACTTACATTACTGGCAATGATGTATAAAAGAAAATTGAATGAAGCTCGAACCCATTTTCCGGTCTTGTATTTGAGATTCTGACTATATATGAAGATTAGGAAAACCCTTGCCACATAATAGATAAAAAGGAAGATGTTCACGGTCACTCTTTGGCCGAAATGTCCAGAGCCTCCTGACTTGAAAAAGAAAACTACTATTGCCAACTGGGCAAAGAAACAGTGGGTTAGAGACTAGAGTCAAGCCTTTGGCAAAGAAGAAATAAAGAAAAAAAGAAAAAAGGAAAAAAAGAGACTAGAGTCTAGCCACATCATTTAAAATTGACTATATTTAACAGACACATTATATGGTAGCTGATATGTACATGCCAGGTTATTTAAAATAATAAACTATTTTATATTGCTTTAATTAATTACTTTTTATGAGTTTAGGTTACTCAATATTAATATTCTTTTCAACTTTTGATCCCCTTCTCTCTCATCTTCTCTCCCCGACATCTGCCTCCCTCCTCCCTCTCTTCTACAACTCATCCATGGTTTCGCGTTTATTAGTGATAATAACTCGGGAAAAGAAAAAAAAAAAAAAAAGAGAACATCCTTAATTGGGGACAGTATAGACCCAACATTGAAAGAAAAAAAGAAATTTTTTGCCATTAGATGGTTTGTTAATGACGTGGCATTTTTAGGATAAAATTCAAGTAGATCCTAATAGAGAAAAACCAAGCAATCCGAATCCTTTCATGGATCCCTCAATAAGAAAGAAAACGAAACAAAAGTCAATCTTTTGCATACCTGTGGGATGGGAAGGATAAGGAAAACGGCAACTAGTAAACTCACAAAGCTGTAGTAAAGCAAATCTACGAAGTAGAGGTCCACGTTCGGGTACAACCTAAACCCAGAACTTATAGTATGCAGTACAAAAGCGGCATCAGGAAGTGCTCGCAAACAAAGAGCTGCAGCCCTCAAATTTTTGTCTATTCCAAGACACTTTTTCTCCTCATTGATGATTGGAATGTAAAAGAAGAGAGGATCTATTGACACTGCAACACATGATAAGATAAATATCATTTTCCTTGTTAATGGAGAGAAGAAGATGCGCCTAAGAGTTTCTTGAATATGTTCCCCTTCTAATTTCCTTATTCGAAGACGGTTTGAATCCTCATCTAAATCGTTTCCTGTATTGTCCTCTTGATACATCAAATACTCGTCGATGATAAACCTATCATATATGGACGATTTTCAATAAAATTATTCAAACTCAACAACAAAAAGGTTTCCCATAAAATCAATGAATCAGGGGCAAGCTAAGCTACTAGCTCGAAATAAATCTAATAGTAGCTAGCTACACTTTTTGGATCGTCATCTGAGAAAGCCTCAAAAAGTATACATAGTACATGTAAATACATATACTAACCTCAAGATACCGACCACATTTGCGACAACTTCTTCAATTGTCTCAACGATACTAGGCCTGAAATATAAACAACTGCAAGTCATTAAATTTTTATTTTTGAAGAGTAAGGTGGTTTTCGTACTTTTTCTTGAAACAAAATGATATTAAAAGAATATTTCTGATATTTACCGTTTTGGGCCTTCGTATAAAACAACCTGCACTTGTCAGGAAACAAAAGAAAATATCTCAAAACAAGAAGAATGTCTAAAACACCAAACAAAGACAGGTTAAGCTAACTGAGGCAGAAGGCGCATACCCCTTCCCCCGCTGCCAACTTAATTCTACCAAATTAACTAAACTATATGAAGAAGAAGGATTTTTTAGACTTACATCGGGATGCGGGTATAAGCTCCGTACCATTTTGGCTTCAAGCTATTTGCAGAGAACAGGTAGGTGATGCTATATATTTGTTTATATCATGGAGGTTGGGTTTTGGGTAGAACCCCAAAACTAAATTAAGCAACTGTTGTAATAGAACGCCATCTCTCTAGTTTGATTAACAGTTAATTAAAAAACAAGGAAATTGTAAACCATAAGATCAAAAGAAAAAGAACAAAAGTTTCATCAAAAAAGAAAAAGAACAAAAGTTGAAAGAATAAAGATGAAAGTATAAGGCTTTTACTTTTTTCTTTTTTTTGGGACAAGACTTACTTTGGACTACTCATTGTGAACTTTGAGGAAAGAGTGCAAGAGAATCCTAAAAGGGGTATGAATGAAACATGTTACACCAGAGCTAGTCTAAACGTACCCATTACGTTAAAATCAAGAGTAGCATATCATAGGGTACCTCTGCACTTCTTCAATCATTCCATACCATCAGCCAACGCAAAAGGGGGTTTAAAATTCTAGCCCCACTTTGAAGACACTACGCGTCAGCTTTAGTTTGTTAAATCAAAAGGAGTTTTATGAAAATAAACTGAAACCTTCGGTGGGTGTTCATGTAATTTTTGAGACATGTGTGGGTTTTGTAAACCATTACGTTAAAATCAAGAGTAGCATATCATAGGGTACCTCTGCACTTCTTCAATCATTCCATACCATCAGCCAACGCAAAAAGGGGTTTAAAATTCTAGCCCCACTTTGAAGACTGTACGCGTCAGCTTTAGTTTGTTAAATCAAAAGGAGTTTTATGAAAATAAACTGAAACCTTCGGTGGGTGTTCGTGTAATTTTTGAGACATGAGGGGGTTTTGTAAAAACACAAAAACCTCCGGGGTTGTTAATGTAAATATATATTTAATCCTAATTCTTGTATAAGTTTCAATTTTGATTAATACATTTCAAAAGATTAAGCATTGACTTTAATCCTTTGCTATATATCCATTGTCCATTATCCATCTCTGTATGTTCCACCTAGAGTGTTTTTAATAAAAAAATTTCTTCCCATAATACCATCGATACCCCGTTTGCTCTAATCAAATTCAGTTTTTAGGGCCTTTTTACTCGGTTTAAGCAATACCTCTTAAGCAATTGTGCTTTCTTTGCTAAACCTTGTAAATATGTACTTTCTTCACACTAACGAGGACTTCTTTCCTAACATCAGTCGCCACACAAATGGGAGTCCTTAAACTTCAAAAAAATTGTATAAGTTGAATATTTTCTATCATTTTGTAAAAATGTATTTTTCACATCCAACTATAGGAAACAGGCTCGGCTTGCCTGAGGCACCACACATGCAATTACTTTATCAAATTACACAAGAAATGTATGATCCACATCAGGCTTTTGCCCTTTTTTTCGGTTTCATACATAATTTATTTCTCAAAAAAGGAAACCACAAAATGAAAATGGACGTATTAATTAATTCATGAAATGAAGAAAATAGAAATATTCATCCACGACAAAAAAATAAACAAACGAACCTCCTCCTGACCTTCATGCTTAATTTCTTCTTAAAAATTGTTTAGTATCTCATCGATCTTGTTGCAAGGAAGTGCCAACTACATGAAGTTTCAACGGCTAAGCGTTGTCTAAACTTCACCTTTTGACTTCATCGGGAAGATGTCTCCGGAGAGCACTAAAGTTTTTAAGTCATTAACTGTGAGAGCAAAGGCTTCTACTTTTTCGGTACATCGGACAGTTTCGAATCCAATTGGGAACACTTTGTGGCTGAGGACAAGCTGAACCCCTAATGACAATTAATCCCAAACTTCGGATTGGAGATACCTCGTTATATTTACCAAAAAAAAATCCCCATCCTATTCTTGATGATCCCTGAATAATGAAGGGTAATCCTTGTTGCTGTCAGTTTGATCTGATGTTCTACCAAACGGCTTCTTCCTTACATCTGCTTTTTATATTCAAATAGAAAATAACAAAAATAATAGGGTCATGTTTGGTGACTAGGATTAAATTGGATTATGAGATAGAATTAAATCACATTTTATTGGAGATGATAACAAAAACCAATGATGTGTTTGGTGTTATACATGATAAGGGGTTGGGCATTCGAAATATATATAGAAGCAGCCATGAAAGTATATCCCCCTTTTTTTTTTTGGTCAAACCAGGAAAATATATCAATTCAGGAATTTGTTTTAAAAACAACTAAGTCGGACGTTGTTGAAAAAACAAAAACAGTATGACCAATGACTGGAATGTAAAAAATGCTCGCAAACACGATAATATAAATAGGGAGTTTCACTAAAATATCCAAAATGGGGGCTGAAATTATAAAAATACCCAACACCCAAAACACTTTATAAACATACCCAAAACTCATCATTACACATACTCAAAACCCATTTATAAACATACCCAAAACTCATCATTACACACATACCCAAAACCCATTTTGGGTATGTTTCTATGTTTAAATAGTACTTGGGTATTTTTATAAATACATGTCTAGGATTGGGTATCTTTCTGTCCTCGATGATTGGAATGTTAAGGGAAAGATTATAATGAGCTGCAGTTTGTTTCTTATATTAATATTTACTTCAATAGGCATGAATTAATGAACGTTGGAAAACAATAATAATGAACAAAAACCAATAAACCTAAATTCCTCAAAAAGGTATACATATACTGACGTTAGGATGCTCCTCCTCCCATCTATTTTGAGTACCATATTGATATTCTGAATGTTAGTCCTGAAATATAAACTGTAGGTAGCCTTGTAATTGTAAATTAACTGTAGTCGGGTGGCCGTACCGCCAGAGGTGGCTCAATGGGCTCACATAGCCCACTTCAAAATTTCAACTAATGGGGCAAACCAAGCTATGGATTTTGAATTGCTTTAGCAAAGGAGTCCAAAATACCTTGAAAAAAAAGGTGGCCTATAGGGTAAACCAAGCTATGAATTAATGCGTACCCTCGGCCACTCTTGGAAGAATTTCCATGACTTAGGGAACGCATTTAATTCATTTTTTCTAACTAAATTCCTCTGGTTTTAAATTTAAAATGCTACTTTTAATTACAAAAATGCAACAAATTCTGATTCATAAAACAACATAATTAAATGCGAGAATGAAAAAAAAAAATTATATATATATATATAATTGCATTTCCAAAGAACCCGTCGGCTAACGAAACAGTAGAAAAACAAATGACGACTTACCTGCAAGAGATGCCTACCACTTTCGCTTCCTTACTTGCCTTCAAGATATTTGCAGAGAACAGTAGGAAATGGAAATGGACAATCAGTAAACTTCAAATACAAGCCAAGTTAATTTTAAGCCAATAGCGGACCTATTAAGGCACAAGGAGGTGCAGCTGCACAGGCGGAACTAGCAAGGGGCTCACATGGGCTGTAGCCTGGGGCAAAATTTTCTGTTTAAGCTTCAATATATGAACAAACTACTATAATTCAATGTTAGCCCATTAGCACAAAACAATACTTTCGTTTTTCTCAGCCCACACAAAAGAGTAAAGTAAGACAAAAACACCTTTACAACAATTTTTTTTTTTTAAAGGAAAGGAATATAATAGTATATCAAATTGGTACCTTGCATCGGCCTGGAGCTACTCGTTGGGGTTCTCATTATGATTCTATTTCGGACTTGATAGAAATGTATAATGCATCTTGTTCAGTGATTGAGACCTTAATTAAGGATGGAGCCACTAACTTTATACACGGGGAAGCTACTGGTACGTTCAAAGCGATGACATCTTTTGAGTTCATATTTGTTTTGCATTTGTTGGAAAAAATGATGGGAGTTACTGATGGCCTTTGTCGAGCATTACAAAACAAATCTCAAGATATCTTGACTGCTATGAATTTAGTTCGTAGTACAAAATATGTTCTTAAGAAATTAAGATTGGATGGTTGGGATATTTTCTTTGAGGAAGTGGAATCATTTTGCAAAAAACATGACATTGATATGCCATATATGAATGCTCTTTACAAAATTGGTACACGTCGTTCTTGTCAACAGCGTGATGATATTACAGTTGAACATCACAACCAGGTTGATTTATTCAATGATACCATAGATTATCAATTGGAAGAGTTAAACACTAGATTCATTGAAGGAACAATAGAATTTCTTACTCTTAGCTCTACTTTGGACCCTAACAATGATTTTAAAGCATTTAAGATTGATGATATTTGCAAGCTTGCAGAGAAATTTTATCCAGGAGATTTCACTTCCAAAGACTTGCGTTTATTGAGGTATCAGCTAGAACTTTTTGAGTCTGAACTACATCTTGATATCTTCCAAAATATGTCTGCTCTTTCTGAACTATGTCAACGATTAACTCAAACAAACAGAGCACAGACATATTATTTGATTGATAGGATGATTCGTTTAGTGTTAACTCTTCCAGTTCCTACAATGACTATGGAAAGCGCATTTTCAGCTATGAAACATATTAAAACTGTACTTCGCAACAAGATGGAGGATGAGTATTTGACAAATTCCCTATTGTCTACATTGAGAAAGAACTTTCTATGGATATTGATTCAGATTCAATAATCACATATTTTGAGAAACTCAAGGAGCGTAGGGTTCTACTTCACTAGGATGTTTGGCAATATGTGTTTAATTTGATGTTTTACATATATTATGTACTTCTTTGCATTATATTTGTTTGGTATGTGAATGAACTTGATTGTTTTAAGAAAAATAAGTAATATAACATATCTCCCATAAGAGAAAAAAAAAAATTATATTAGCCCCGCCATTGGCTGCACCTCCCCTTGCCGGAAAAACCATTGTAGGTGCTTCAAAATGCCCCTTTACTTAACTGGTGTTCAAATTACCTTATTTCTATTTTCAAAATTTAAGTAAATGTCTTTGTCCTTTTACTTTCATTTATTTTTATATTACTCTATTTACTTAATTTTACAATGTAAATAAGGAAGTAACCCCCATTTGGATTCAAATAAAAATACTAGAAAATCAAATAACCACCAAATCAAAATATGAAAAATCAGTTTTAGTGCAAAATACGATTTAGGCTAAAAATGATGGCTCATTAAGTCAATATATACTTCGTACTAAAATTCCATAAAATCAAGTTTTCTTATTTTATGTGTAAGGAATAAAAGCCGCCAAAAATTATCTTGAGAAAATGACTATTCTGAAAAACCATTTTTCATACTTTGTCAATATTGCACCTCCGCTAATAATGCCTTAGCGAGGCACACTAATTTGGCACAATTTAGTGAGCCCACGTAAATTCTTGCCCAAAGCAACTTTTGGGAAACAAAAAGTTAAGTGTAAAGAAAATATATATCTCCAGGTCTACGACTACATGTACAAATTCAAGCTCCGAGATTCCAAACCAACTCTACGTGCCGTATATGTCCTTAATGTTATCCCAAACAAACAGGTTCTTCCATTAAACGCTTTTATATCGTAGATTTAGAGGTAGTTAGATTTTCCTTCTTGGATCAAATTCTTTTCCATTAAACGCAAATCGTAATTGAATTTTGGTTTTGATAGAAATTTAGATACATCATGTCGGTCACTTGATCAATTTGGTGAATGCTTTTGTTCTTCTGTCTTCTTTTGAATAATTTTTTTTTAATGTATATGTGATATATATTGAGAGAGGAGAGATTGAACACAAAATCTCAAATACATAAATACACACTGTTAATCATTTGAGCTAACTCTTTAATGAAGATCAAGTATTACACTTGACTAGGTACGTATATGTTATATTCATACTACGGGAAAGAAGCCAGGAAAAAAAAAAAAAAAATCTTCCATACAGTTAAGCAATCCTTTATGAAACCAATCCTCTTCATTTTAATTTGCTCCATTGGCTTTAAATATCATATTCTAACCTTCACAGTCCGGGGTTATTAATTTAGATGCAATAATATAAATTGACGACATGGATAATATGTCATGGATCTAGAGTAGTATTAATAAATACACATGTTATAACATGGATGAACTGGTAAGACTACGTGAAAACACCCTAGATTTTCTTCTATTTAAGTTTGCATGGTGGACTTGTCTCCTCCACCGATCATGATGAGAATTAATGTTGGAATTTTTGAAATTCCATCGGGATCCGCATTTGGAGACTACACTTCTCAAGTCCTCATCCGTGAGAACAAAGGCATGTACTATCGTATGACATCTGACAATTTCGGTGGAGATAGGAAGGACGGCAAAAGAGTTTTCTGGTGATGCCCAAACCAAAAGCTCTTCACCATAAAAGTCACCTTTCTCAAGAACCTTTCTGACCATTGAGGAATTTGTTTTTCCAGAACTACAGGTAGTACTAGTAGGCGTCCACTTCCATATAATGCCTTCTGTGATGATGAGCATAAAATGAAGTTGCTCCCCCTCTTTGACAATGTAGCTATTCTCAGGATAAGTCACTGGCTTGAGATACCCGCACATCATTTCCAGCACTTTAGGATCCATATATTGAAGCATGTGGGTACCTACACGTTTACATTATTGATCGATAAGAACAAGATTCATCATATACATATATTGGTGTTCGTAACAGTGGATTGTTGGTCCGTCTCTCTGAAATTTTAGTAGTAATGGCCAGAATCTCTATATGTTGAGAGGTTTGAGGAGCATACTTTCTTTAGCGTATTCATGCTGACATGTTGACTCGCAAGTTTTGCATCAGCGTACATGTTGTCTCGCAAGTTTTGATTTATGTTTGGCATCATTTTTAACTTCTATCTTATACTCAAGCAGACAATTTCTGGACATCCAGCACCGTATCTCGCCCTCTTTCCCCTTCTCAACCTCCGAAGGATTTGTACTTGTCAACTGCTGCATACATGTCTGTTTCGATCCCAATGAAAAAAGAAAAAATTTCAGTTTATGATTAACAAGTTATAATGTAAAGATATAACATCACCAACGTACCTGAACGTTTCCAATGAGATATGAAAATAGTAGTAAGCCAATAGCAGAAATAAGAATTGCAAAGCAATTTTCCCACCAGTAATTGCTCGTTTTAAGATCCGTGCCATAATTACTGCAAATCAATTGATGAGATCAAGTAATTACTATATGAGATACTAATAAGAAGGGCAGAAGTTAATGTAAATGCTTAGTTACAGTAAGAAAATCTAAGGAAGACAATCTGAACTACAGCTGAAACAGGAAAATTTTTGTTCAAAATATGTATGCAAACCTCATATTTCTGAAGCCCCACCACAAAGTGTAAAAGAACTTTGTTGAGAAATTTATTTGGCCTGCAGTGTTAACAGATTGAAGAGCTTCAAGAAATATTCCAAAGTCAAACAGCTTTGCATTTGCTGGATTTATGGGACATTTTTCATTTACGAATGTGATATTATTTGTTGAACGACTAGTGTCAATCTCATCGCAATAATGAATAGCTTTGCATCCTTCGGTACTTTTGCAAGCCTCGTGCCAACATATCGTCTCTCGTTGAATAGCAAGAAAGTACCAAATAGCTCCAAGCATCTAAAAACACCACGAAATTAACTAATTATTCAAGAAAATTCCATAAAGATACATCGTTGTAAGAAGAAATCAAGTAACAAAAGTAAATTATCATGAAAATGTGAAAAATAAAGCTTATGTGATGGTTATATAATTTCATTCGATGTCTTATTTTGGGTAAGTGTGTTTTATAGTGGGCTTCAGTTAACGGATCCCTTAAATAACACGGTTTTATATATAATTGTTACCAAATAAATAGACAGCAACATATTTCCAATTTGATGAGACTTACGTGACTAGCAAGGATGTATAGGTAAAAGTTGAGAACGCCTTTAATCCAAATTTTCTTAATAGAGGATGCGTGCAGATAGATTCGGAAAATCCTGGGCAAATATTGAAAGAGAAGAACGAGATTGATAATCGATCTTTCATAAAAGTATCCAGAACCTTTCACTTCGAAAAAGAGAACTGTAACTGCCACCTGCACAAATGATAATATGGGTAAGAAAAAAATCTAATTGTGTGCATATATAGGACAAAAGGTTTAGTGTTTGTTACCTGTGGGACGGGAAGGATAGCGAGAAATTCAACTATGAAGTCAAAAGATAACCAAGGCTTCCTCAAAGCTAATCCCTTGGCAAATTTAGCCAACCTTGGATAAGACATAAAATATTTCTTGATGGCGGTCCATAGCGAATCCGATTGTACATGAAGCTCAGAATTGGGCACGGTAGCAGTATTTTTGTTCTTATCCGGACTTCGAATTTTAATAACAATTCGGATTAAGAAGGGGATGTCTGAAAGTGAACGCAGAATAAGAACTGCGTTCCTCACAGTTTTGTCCTCTCCAAGGCACTTGTTGCACTTATCGATGATTGGGATGTATAAGAACAAATGGGTCGTTTGGTACGGCGGACTGTCATGGACTGGACTAAATCCTGGAACTGTCTCGGATTAGCTTGGATTGGACTAAGCTGGATTAAGTCCTGACCTACGTTTGGTGCTACGTCGGACTAAGAAGCTGGATTGTAAAAATAGTGAAGACCTATGTTTGGTGCTGTGTCGGACAAAAAAATAATTATTTTATATTTAAAAATAATAATTTTTAAATAATTAAATGTAAGTTTTTTTGTTATTAGAATTACCAAAAACCAAGTGATATTCATGCAGGACGCAAATTGCCCTGTCAAATGACAGATACAATCAATCACGGGCAATTGCAAACTCCAAAACTACAAATCTTTCTCCAAACAAAAAGAAAAAACAGAGCATGACTTTGCTTTGACATGGCCAAAGAAAAAAGAAAAAAGAAAACTGAATCACCAAATCAGCAACCAAGAAAAAAGAAAATTGGCAAACTCCAAAACTACAAATCTTCCTCTGTGTAATCTTTTAGCAATAAATCACCAACTAAAAAAAATAAAATTCGCAGACCTAAGTAGTGCCAGACCATTTCTTACCATCTCCAGATCTTGGAGTTTCACATGTGTAGACCAATTAAATATATTAGATAGTAATGAAATCCATAAAAACTGAAACCACAAGGATGCATCATCCCTCATGAACCAGTAAGTTCAATAAACTCAGGATTCATGTCAAAAGTCTACTCTGCTTCTGAATTTCTAGGTTTTCTTAAATACCCAATTGCAAATTAACATCAAGCATATATATGTCATTACAATAGATATGGATTCTACGAAAATTAGAGAAGAGAAGAAGAAGATAACAGAGAAAAGGAAGGAGAGATTCTCGGAGCACACAACCAAAATTGTTGAGGACAATTGCAAAAATCAAAGAGAAGGAAGAAGGAATAAGAGGGGTATCCAAAGGGAAAGACCAGAAAAACTTGCTTGGGTCAAGATTCGAAGAAGATGAGTCGATGTTGAACGAAGGAGAGGTGGAGTTGCAGAGGTGGAGTCGCGAACCACAGAGAGAGGCGTGTTCAATCCAGGAAGGCTTATTTTGCGAACCCATTTTTGGCTTCGCTATATAACGAGAGCGAGTGATGGGTTTTTGGTACTGTTGGGCTCTACAATCCCACTTAAATTAGTCCCATTTCTAACCAAACATGGGTTTCAGGTACAATATAGCACAGTCCTATCTAGTGAGCCTTACCAAACATGCCCAAAGGGTCCAATGCGACTGCAACGAATGATAATAATAAAAATATGTAAGCTGGCTTTACCATACGGAAAATACTTGCTGCTGTTGTTGACGATGGTGTTTTCATTGGATCAGTTGGATTCTTGCTACTTGGCTCTTGTCCCACAACACTGTCTGAACCTGTTCCTAGTGTAATGCTGCTCACCAACAGAAATAAATTTTAGAAAAGCGGAAACAGAAAAACGGAAAAGGAAAAGGAATATATAGATTTCAATTTAATCTTTTTTTTTTAAAAAAAATTATAGAGGAAATTGATAATTGTATTCATAAATTAACTAAGCAAAAAGAGCATAAGTCACAACGGACCGTAAACCCACAAAGGGTTAATATAAAGATGGAAGCATAGTAACGTTAATCCAAATACGTAAAAACACACCGGCAATATCAAGCACACACAAAGTGTATGAGAGATTTTATGATAACCAATAGGCAGATGTTGCTTTGGTTTGTTGAGAAATGATAACCAATATCATCAGTAAATATTATACTAATGAAAGACAAAAAGCTAAGGTCATAATTCGCATAGTAGAATGAGTGCCTAGAAGAAAATATGATGAATATATAATAGTCTTATTCAATATTGTCATCTCAATCTCCTAGGCTGACAAAAAAACTACATACACATTAATTAAGAAACTTACCTGAGGAGGGTGCATGCCTCTGATTCATCTTTCTGAATGTTTATGATAACGTGCTCCATGGCCATGCATATAAACTTAAACCTTATATATCGAGGATGGATACGAAGCCCAAAGAATATACGTTGGTCCTGAGAATATGGAAATCTATAGATAAAGTAAAATAAAATAATATCTTCCCAAAAGGGAAATTCAACACACACAACAACAAATACAAAGGTCAAGACGTTAGGAGTTTTTCTTTTTATTAAATTTATTTTTTATTTAACATAAGTTGTTTATGGAGAGAGACTCTCTTGCAACCGGGATAACACTTTTTACTATCCCAGCCCAGCTAATAGCGCAATGACATGCGAGATAACTTTTCTACATGTCATTACATTATTGGCCGGGAATAGCAAAACAATGATATCCCCATGATAAGAAAGTTTTGGGCGTTGTGTATGATATTTAAACACAGTACCTCTGATAAAAGTGAATAATGAATGCCACTAAACCAAATTATCTCTTGAGTATTTGAAACTTGAACACCCTGGTACGTATATGCAACAAGAGAAGGGGTGGATCGAGGAACACAGAGCAAAGAATAGTGGAGGCAGAAATTGAATTTGGCTAAATTAAGCTATTGCAGCAGTTATTTCAATTGAAATCAAAACTGAATACTCGTTCAGTTTTATAGACTTTGTGATCATTTGTATGCATGCAGATCATTAGGAATTAAATATGAAAAGAAGACCTGGGTTTTGGCAATTAATTTAATCAACGAACGCGATTAGTTTTCTTAATCACAAGCCCTTTCCTAATAGGTTCTTTGATTATAAAACAAAACCCACTTGATCGCACTCCTTTCCTAATATCTTCTTCATTTACAAGTGGGATTTTGTCTTATTTAGAAAATTACATCTTAAGACCTCGTCCACAAAGCACAAGTGTTTTCCTATAGTTTCTTTGTCCGTCTCCGTACCAACTATCCGAATTCCGGTCAATGTAGACTATTCCTATAGTTTCTTTGTCCGTCTCCGTACCAACTATCCGAATTCCGGTCAATGTAGACTAGTTCAGCACTTACGTGGTCTTATTGCTTAAAACACAGCACTTATTTTATGTGGCAAGTGATGTGTACAGTGGCCACCATAGACTTTTATGTTCGAGAGCGTCAGAAGCTTAAAATTATAGTAATTTCTTCTAACATTTATGATTATACTATATATCCATGAATAGCTCCACTAGCGAATGTGTACAATCAACTTTTAAAGAAATAAAATAATTAATTGACTTGGTAAGCATATATCTCTTGTCACATCTTTCATATTTAAATAAAGAGATATTTAGTCATATACTCATTCTTAGCACTAATAATATAGATAAATCTTACACAATTTAATTTTTATAAACAAACCCAAAAAAAACCCCAAAAATGACAGCTGGCCCTATTGAATTTAATTTTGATTATTAAATTACTTTGATGCCCTATTGAGTGTTTTGGGCTTTTTTATGAGGTTTTGGGGTTGAGTTTGTTTTAAGAAATCAATGGCTGTTTTGTAATTTAAAAGAAGTTAAAAGCCTTTTTGTTATGTTGTAAATAGGCTTTGGGTGTGTTTCTAAAGTCCATTTCATATAGAGGATTTTTTTATAATTTGGACTCCTATATTGGGTATAATAGTGAATCTCCATTAAATAAATTATATAACAAAGAACATCCTTACTCAGGTAAAAAAAACTTATTTATAACATGGATAATATTGTTTTTACTATTTCCAACTAATAACACAATAATACGTAAAAAAGTTATTTCACGTTCTCAGCCAAAAAGTGTTATTACATGAAAGTTTCTCTCCTACTCAAGAACCGACTTCTGCTAAAAGTGATTGTGTGTGAAGGTGCACCAAATTTGACCACCCGTAGAAAAAGGTTCTGATTGGAATTTCTAAGACTATTAAATAGCTTAGCCAAAAGTATTTTTTTTAGTTAAGTGGATTCTAAATTCAATATTGGTGCGTCAACACTCGTCCACTAAATTTTAATTCAATTAAGTTTAAAAATAAAAGAGAGATGACATGGTGTTATTAAGTATAATATTTTGCCACTTGCTAATTGACTGTAACCTTTTAGTTGACAATAATTGAAAGGTAGAGAATAATATTTTTTCACACGCCAATCAAACTTTTTTTGCCCCTCGGAGATGCATCCATTGAGTTTGTTGGAAGAGGCGTACTTTATCCCCGGTATGAAATCTGTTTGCAATACTTTTGGAGAAAGCACTTTTGTCTGAATCACGTAGACTTGAACAAGCACTTGCTGCTTCAAAAAGCACAAGAAGTGCTTGCTTCAAAAGCTTTTGGTTATTCGGGTAACCTATTGACAATGCGGAGGGCAAATACGAATATGGCTTAGGGTTTAGCATTAATAGTGTCCAAAGGTGTAACATAAATATTCACTAGGCGGCTAGCATTAGCTTATACATAGTAATTAAACTGCTACAACAACTAAATTAATACATGGCAATAATTTCCCTTAGAAAACATCAAGATCATATATATGTAGCAACATTTGGATGATGACTAGCCAACAACAAGAACAACACCAGAAAAGCATGAACAACAAACCCAGAAAAATGTTCACCTAGAAACCCACCATTGGGAAAAATTGGGAGTCATCATCCGACGAGACAATCCACTAAGCAAAGAAGATTCTTATAGAGAAATCACAAGCAAGCTTAAGGAAACCTAGATCTATTTAGGAAAAGAGCTATACCTCCTCCTGCAATGTTCTTTTCCAAACTTAGCAAAGCTTTTATGGCAATGGCAGCTTCCTCCTCAGCTCGTTCATCCCATGGCACCAACTTAAACAACTCAATCTCCAAATAAGAACCATAAATTTGGATTCAAAATGAAATTATCAATTCCTTCAAGAAACCATACTCTTGAAGAAATCAATTTAGAATATGACCTAGATCTATATGAGAGTGTGTTTGATTTAGCTAGATGCAGATTTCATCTTTCAAACCATACTTTTGCCCACTTTGTAACACTCTACATGTTTTAGGAATTCCAAGAAAATTAAAAAACAAAACCCCCTCGCAAAAACAGAAAAACAAAAACCCAAATCAATTGATTGCCCAAAATGAATTTTACCGTGCATGACATTTTTTTT